CTCAATTTCCATGTTAACAAACTTGATCAGAATATCATGACACTCAGAAGTGAAAGGATCCATTAAACTTCTGTTGATAGCGACATTATACAACGACATTCCAAAAACCTTTTTTAAAATTTCAACCTTTGTAAAGTAATATAGCTGTAAGAAAATCAGTTTACATCAATGATCTCAAACTGGGCATAAACAATTTGCAGCTTCTCAATGAGATGAGGTGTATCTTTGGAAAAAAGAGCCAAGGAAGAATTGTTGAATCATGTGATTTGCTGTTGGCGTTTCAAAGAACATTGCCTTTAATTAAAAGGCAATTTCTAAGTAAATTTTTTTTCGCTGAACAAAAATGCATGGAATTATATATTTATTTCAAATATATTGAAATAAATTTCAAACTTTCAACATCAAATTTCAAAGTTTTGAGAGAAAACAAAATGAAAGACCCACTTTTTTCAAAACTTGTTTCTTTGTCTCAACATGATACCAACTAAATACAGTATGGTTTCATTTCACATGTTACACATAGAATGACATTGTTTTTCGACAATTAGACAAAAAAACTATGAAAATGTTATTCCGAAAGTTACTTGAGATATATCCAAAAGTATAAGATTTGCAGTTTTTTGAAACATTATGAAAATTACGATCTCGGAATCTGAAACCCATAAGCTATCATAAAACATTAGGAAACATATTCCCTATCTTATTACACAGGGTGGAGACCGTACAGCTTTTTTTTCAATTTTATAAAAAGTCTCCACCCCCTATCCCCATAAGGTTTGGCTCCAACATACACTACCATCCAGTTTTCTCAAATTCAGCTGAGTGTATCAAAAAATGCTATTCTTCAACTATTCTTGAAAATCACAGAGCTTTGAAGTCATCTTTCATCTTTTTATCATTTTCAATTTTAATTCGAGAAGACATTAATGTCTCTTGTCCAACCATTGTGAATATCTCTCTCAACTAACTGATTTAGAACTGTTATCTCTTCAATATGTTTATGATTTTCATTGATTATAGCTGCCTCAGCCGACTTGTTTTCCATGTTAAAGAATTTGATCAGAATCTCATGACACTCAGAAATGAAAGGATCCATTGAACTTCTGTTGATAGCGACATCTTACAACCGCATTCAACTTTTTTTTTAAAAATTTTTCATTCTTTATAAATATGGAAGGTGTTATGTGGAAATTTTTGGATAGATAATGAGTGTATTATGAAGATTTTCTTATCAACTTCTAAAAAACTACAGTTATTATTCTGGTGCAGCATAGGTTCAGCTAAAATGAACATTAGTTTTCTTTTTCAGAAAATTATATAACACAGATATTAGAACAGCCAAGAGCAAAGCTTATCAAATTTCAAAGTTTTGAGAGAAAACAAAATAAAAACTGACCTTTTTCAAAAACTTGTTTCTTTGTCTTAACATGATACCAATTGAAACACACTCTGGGTTTCATTTCACACGTTACTCGTAGAATGACATTGTTTTTTGTTAATTAGACAAAAGCGATAAAAATAATAGCCTAAAAATTTCTGGAAAATATCCAAAAATTTAAGATTTTGCAATTTTTTGAAACTTTCTGAAACTTATCATCTGAGACTTTGAAAACCATAACCTACCTTAATACATTGGGAAACCTATTCTTTATCCTAATATATAGGATGGAGACCGTGCAGTCTTTTTTATTCTTACATAAAAAGTCTCCACCACCTACACCCATAAGATTTGGCTCCATTTTATACTACTATCCAGTTTTCTCAAATTGGGATGACTGTATAAAAAAAATGCTAATCATCAACTGTTCTTGAAAGTCACAGAGCATTGACGTCATCTATTCATCATTTTGAAATATAATTGGAGAAGACATGAATGTCTCTTGCCCAACCATTGTGAGTATCTCTCTCAACTAACTGCTTTAGAATTATTTTCTCCTCAATGTGTTTATGATGTTCATTGATTATAGCTGTCTCAGCCGATTCGCTCTCCACGTTGAACAATTTGATCAGAATATCATGACACTCAGAATTGAAAGGATCCATTGAAATTCCGTTGATAGCAAGAAATGCAGCAACTAAATGAAATCGTTTGTGATGAGCAGTTGATTGCGCTACACAATAAGCTGCAGCCTTAGCACACTTGTTAGATATTTCCGCCCGCTTCTTCGCCAATTCAGATATTGTTTCGGTGTTGATCTTAGTTCTATACTCATTGCGGAGCTCTATCAATTTTTCTACTACTTGGTCGATTAATGACTCAAATTTAATAACTCTGTTGACTGCTTCCTTCTTTTTAGCAGCAGTCTAAAAAGAAACTCAGTTGTAGTTCATTTGCAAATAGTTAAGGAAAATCT